AAAAAGGCTCCAACGTGATCAATGAAAACATAGACGAAACAAGAGAACCTTCACATTTATCAGTACCTTCTTCAATATTTTGAATATGGGTGACGTGTTGAAATTAAAGAGATACTATATCTTTATGATTCAAATTCACGCTGACTCTTTCAGATGCTTAAATTCCTCACAATCAGCTCCAACCTCATTTAGTGCCAAGAAAAGCTTTGGCATTATCTTGGCTAACCCCAGCTTGAAACCAAGAGAAGTTGAATTCTGATCAGTCTTGTCACCGGCAGACGCATCTCTAGTCAGAGAACCAATCAAGCAACCTTTCATGTATGCATCACAAGCCTTAAGGATATAGTGACCACGCCTCCTGAAATGTTCCTTGATGAGCATTTCGAAGTCCTAGAAATTTCATCAGCACGATAACAGTCAAATTATATGGCACAATCAAAAGAAACTACAGGACCAACTGCCCAGAGAGACACACACATTAAATCCACAAAGGGTGTCTGGTAATTGTAGATGCTACAAAATTTTCGCCACATCAAGTAGGAATTTTGCATTCTAGGACATCACAAATTGCCACAATGAGCGGAACAATTTGAAAAGTAACTCATAATTAAAAAAAAAAAAAATCAGCTCCATTTTGTATTCTGTTCATTCACACATTACTTGATTTTTATGCTCGTACTAAAAATTTTCTCCAGTAAATGTGTTGCTTCGCAATACCCAGGAGCTATAAGAATTATTGACTAGTATCATGCACACATTACAACCTAATCAGGGCACTAAGTGTGCATAACACAATAGTCCTTTATCTACCAAACACGATGATAGGAATGACTGAACAAAACCTACAAGGTCTGAGGATGCTTAAGAGATATTAAAAAGGTATTTTATACATCTTATTCATAATTACCTTGGGGGGTCTCCGCATAAGATACATAATTGTCCTGCAGTTATCTAAAAACGTATGTTCATTGTATGACAACGAATTTTTCTCTCCTTCAGCTGTCCCAATCTGCTTGTCATATCCAGCCTCATTGAAGTATGGCTTTGAGTTGAGCACAAGCCCTTGCAGTGAAACCAGCACTTGAAGAATGCTGGAGGATTCTGGATCCCATACCTCATTTCCTTTGCCCGTCCATGTATTTAGAAGGCTTAAGCACACCTTCCCTTCCTCATATAAATTAGGGTTGATTCGCAAACCACCAGAATGATAGTATGCTGACTGCAGCATACAAGAAATTGTTAAAAAACACATGATATTTTAGTAAAATCCAACAAATTGAATAAGAAACTTCTAATTAAATATCCTGGATGATTAAAAAATATATATATATAGAACTACTTACGACTTTAAAATATGTATTTCTTACCGGTGGAACATCAGGATACTCTGATGGAAGGTGAAAATCAAAGAAAAAAAGACCATCTTGGTAAGGGGTCCCAAATGCCCCCACTATAACTGCTCGTAAGAGATCCATTCGATCTTCATAAACTCGTACATATATTCCATCTGGCAATTTTTTTTTTTTCAGTTGTTTACACGCTGAAATGTAAAATCAATAAACTTCGAATTTTGATTAGTTTCAGTTAGCAACACTCACCTGGCAGGTTATTCTGTAGTATGCTCCAATCTTGCTGGACTTTCTTATACCATTTGCGACTTTTAACCTGAAAATGAATAAAAAAATCATGTAGTGGTGTTCGTATGTTATAATGGAGAAAATGCAGTCCAAAGAAAGAAACAAAAAATTAGAGGGAGAATTACAATCAAGTCATAAGAAAGGGATTTAATTATTACTCTTTACCATTCATTTTCATCCGCACAAGAGCTGGTCTGTGTGTGTCTTAATATTCATGAAACGAATATAAATTATAAAACTAGAAAGCTACTATATCATTTTATCTTATCCTAACTCTATTGTCCTATAGCTATAAACATATCAGAAATAAAGCAAAGCAATACCTGTCCATTTGCACCAATAAAATAGTGGTCTGCAGGATCTCTAGTTATATCAAAGCGTTTGAAAATGCAGTCATCGTCAAAACTTCCAGGAGAATTTTCAGTCCTCAAGCCACATAAAGCCTCAGATCGTTCTGTAGAAACACTTTCCTCGCCTTTGTCATTTTTATTTTCTGAATCATCACTGTCAGTGATCATAGGTTTCTGCCTACTAGATTCATCAGTAACTTCTATTGCCTCAGAAGCTTTTGTAATTTCCTCTGAAGGAAGTTCACTTTCTCGTTTTGATTGCAAGTGAACTGATTCTCCATTTCTTTGGCCCCTTGAGAATATTCCAGTGGCAAGTCTAGTAACAAATCGGAAAGCAGCTAGGGGAACAGAAAGTGCTCCAGCAGCCCCAAAGTCATTCTCTCCACTCTCTTCTTCCTCAGATACATCACTACTTGAATTTTCCCTCTCAATATCCTGCACCCCATCATCTTGTAAAATTAAAAAATGAGCTTCATAACTTTGATCAACATCTACTGCTCTGATTAAGAAGTAGTTGATAAATATAACATCAACCCCAATACATTGTATTCACCCAAGGAGCTGACCAGAAGACATCCTCTTGATATAAGTAAACAAGAATTTCTTTCTGATATGATTAATTTTACAAGCACTACTGTAGACTGCCATAGATATCTATACAAAGGAAGGGAGAAAAAACTGAAAAGCATGATTTTTCAAAGCACCAAATATTTCAAGACGAGCTTTATATTTCCATAGGTTTCCCAAGAGAAAGAAACGACATATCTACTGACGGAAACTCAGCAATGCTAGGACATGAACATACCCTTTGGAATCCTGAGGGCCTTCCTTCTCATCATCATCATCGACAGTTTCCCAGCTTGCAGCATCACTTAAGTCACTCCCAGCAGCAATTGATTCATCATCATCATCTCGACCAACAACATAGATTGCTTGGGGTCCAACCTACAAATAAAACTAATAATTAATTGATAAAAGGGCAAGTCATATCACCAGACACCATAGCATATCTACAAAATTAAAAATTTTAGGCATATGAAGCCTACTCTCTCTCTCACGTTGCCTCTGAGGCCCAAAATATACAAGAAAACCAAATCCTCTGATTAATGCATTATTTCAAAATGAACTCGAAAGATCCCAAAACTCAAAATGCAGTATATTATGCAAAAGGCAAAGACCATTCCAAGTAAATATTCAAAAGCCTGCAGCAACCTCATATAGAAGGAAAGAACATTTTGGCACTGATTTTCAACACCTCTACTCCATTATATGATTTCAAACCTGCTATGAATTTGCCAACTTCAGATAAAAACCAGACAAAATATCATTGAAATACAATTTAAGTGGTCCATAACCTTTCAACTCACAAAAATTACCTAGAAAGAAACACACCCTTGGTTCCCTTATCATGACTCTGAAACACTAGTAAGATCCCAGAGGTCTGATTCATCCCATTTTTGTCTTGGCGATACAGACAATAAACCTAGACACCATTTGCTTAGAGATCAATGATATTTACTATTCTGGTTCACTCAAGCTTCTGGGGCTAATTTTAACATGCAAAAAAAATTTATAAATTGTTATCTGGCTTACAATTGAAGAATCTGACTAACTTCATGGAGTCCATGGTTAGCAGGGTTGTTTGGATATTCTTTTTGTATTCTCTACTCGGTATTTAGACTTGGACATCTTTGGTCATATTTGGTTCTTTATGCCCATTGATTAATAATCTAGGGCCCCAAAATTTAGGTTATTCAATCCTCAAGTTTCTGCACCCCATCTAACTAAAGAATTCCGAGCAGTCAAAGCTCTAAAGATTCCTTTAGCTATAGTGCAAAATAACCAAGGCATGCAGATTCCTTTCTACTCTATTCCTCCAGCATTCCTTTCAACTTTTGCATCACACAACCTTCAGATTCGATTCACACAGATTCATATCCTAGACGAATTTTCCTGATTTTGCAAGCCTACTCACATGATCACATCCCAAAATAAATTTTTAATGTAATTTCAACTTTCACAGAGCTTCCCTACACCTTTTCATATCGCCATGAAGGACCAGTTCTCTGATTATAGATATTAGCATAAAGTTCTTACATTACCAAGAAGCACAGAATACCATTTTGGTCCAACCAAGGCCTGATTATGTTGAAGTCGTGCAAATTTTAGCAGATTCAACTCGGTATCAAATTTCAAATAATTAAAATAATTCTTCAGATCCTCATCATCCAAAATTGAAGAAGATGAGTAAAGCATTGCAGTAGTACCATAACAGCAAAAACCTAGTAAATGACTAAATGCAGCATTCATTTTTATCTAAACAGGAAAATACAGATGAAACAAGTGGTAGAAATTATATGACAAACATACCGTTGATACCATCCCATCAGCCCAGGTAACTTCAATATCACCACTCTTTAGGCCAGTAATATTTCCAACCCAAGAGAGGTCTGAAAACTCCACATAAGTCTCACCACCAGAGGCATTTTCCACTTTATTGCCATCTATTCTGTATTTCATTCCCCTTTTAGCTCCATTTTCCTCATTTTTATGCTTTGATATCTCAGCAGCCTCTCCAGCACCAGTATCAGAGGAGATAGACACAGGTAACAGCCGAACAACCACATCCCCATAGCAGTAATCATAGTCAGGATGGCCCTCTAGCTCATATACACTGACAACTTCCTCCTTCTCAAACTCTTTAGGGTCTTCTGCTCTAACAACTGGTTTTAACCACCTCACACAGGCTGTCCGCTCTTTGGCGTTAACACTTTTAACAACACCAACACGCCTAATTTGACAATTACCTTCACCATCACCATCAGAGATCTTCTCCACCACATATTGTTCTGCAACAAATTCATGGTCACCTGGATTATCTATAGGAATCAAACTTATTGAATGTAGCCCATGCTGTATTGTTCCATCCTGCCATGCAACATCCACTGTTGTTCTTGTGTTAACAATCAAAAGAGCTTTTTCAAAATTCTCTTCTTTCTTCCGGGCCCTTTTGTCTTTCCTGATCACAACTTTTCTTATCTTCTTGCGGTGCAAAGGCCATGCTTCATGAGCATGATCTTTTGGCACTGAGATAGAACTGCAATGTGAGCTAGAATCCCGTGAACAATTACTTCTGACATTTCCATCATTCAATTCATTCCCTTCCAAGGCATTCACTGGATCAATGTCCATGGCATCCCTACTTCCACTACATTCCTCAACTGCAGGTTCTTCTGAATCACATCCACTTCCTGTCTGGTTAGAATCTATTTCACTGTTGACCGAATCATGAGGTTCTGATTTGGATATGCCTTTCTCCGAAGAAATTGTGGATGACAGTGCCGATGAGGGTAAGAGACACCAGTCACCCAATTGCCAATTCGCATGAGCAAAACAAGACAACAATTTTAAGTTTTTTGGACTCTGTTCTTCAGCTGGGGCAGTTGAAGAATCCGGTCCATAACCTGCAGATGCTATCCAATAAACAAACACTGATCCTACTGTAACCTTGGTGACAGTTCCTTCCAGCCTATTAGCTTTCCACAAGCCAGATAACCATCTTGAATTCTTGAAAACTGATGAAGAGCTAGCCCTTACACGTTGCCCAGGATAATAAGGGAAATGTCCGTCTTCAAGAATATTCTTAGAAATTGGCTTAAGTTGCAATGGATCTGCTTTGGTGACTTTACACACAGAACCATCATCAAATAAGACTGTCACATTATCTAAAACATCATCAATTCTTCCCAGCCAGGGCCCCAGCACCACATGGTCACCAACAGTAAAATCTCTAATACGTTTCAAGTCTTTCGTTGAAACATCTTTTATTGTAGATCCATCAGGAGCCAGCAAATCAACAGACATATTCACATCAAAGACTACACCCACTTGCCCAGTAGGGTCTGAAGCAGCGGCAACAAAATCCCCATGTAAAAATCCTCGATCAACAACTTTTACGTCACTAATATTTTGGGTGGATTCAGATTCATCCATCCACAGTACCCGTAACTGGTCAGCCAAAAGTGGAATAGTCTTAGAATTCCCCTCAGTCCTATCCAAATCTCCACTGGCATTATTATTGGTGTCACTATTGCCTTCATCAATGTTATCCTCATTGTCAGCATCACCCTCATCATCCTCATCGTCCTCATCATCATCAGTAATGCTGCTATCTGAATCTGAATCACCAGCAACTTCTGTCACAATCCCAATCATACCGTTGGAATTATTCTTCACGACATCTTGCCTATAGATATAAGAGGTATTACTTTTCGGGCATGAACAGTCATCAGGTTTGTTAACTTCACTGCTTTCAGTATTTACACTTGGTTGGCTAAGAAACCCACTAGCAAGATTGCCTTGGCTTGAAAAACTACCATGGTGATCATTCATAGTAGACTCAGTGTCTTCGGAATGATTCATATGCTGTTGAACTCCCATCTGAAAGCACATACAGAGATGTCACAAGATAGTTATTTTAAGTCTTGTTATTCACCTTAAAATTAACAAGAGAAAGTGAGAAACAATAATTCTTCAACAAGTTCTACTAATGCTCTACATACAGTGAATATTGTCCAAGATTTAAAGCCAGAAACGGGGGAGGGATTCGATTCAATTCAATTTTCCCACCCTCCTCCTCAAGGGAAGAAGAAAAGGCCTTTATTTCACACATATCATCTCGGCAAACTAATAGCTCAGTAAATTACGCATTGGACAAGGGGGAAATTTTCCTTTTAGTATCAGTAATTCAAGGCCAATATTCCGAAGTTATATGCATGGACAGTTCTTGCAACCACTTCAGAGCTGAGGTTATTAGGGGGGGAAAATGACAGCAACCAAAAGAAAAGGAGTATTAAAAGGCATAAACATGCCAACTCAATAAATTACATATCGGCCAGCAGGAAAACTTTTCTTACAGTCGGCGGAAAAATAGAGTAACAGGAACCAAAAAAAAGGATAACTAGAAGACATAAGTACGCCTGCATTGATCAACTGTTCGACAATCGCAAGCTACACGTGCAAAGGATCTAAATCACAGCAAATAATTAAGCAAAAATCCGGTTTAGTGGTCATCTTAAACTTGTTTGCGAATTTAAATGCACGCGCAAAGCATCATAAAGAAACCATGTATCTAAATCAGATAGTATCATACTCGTCATTTTGTCAAATAAAATTCAAACTTCAAAGATTAAAAAAGACAAATAAATGGCTTTGGGGTAGCTCAAAAGAATAAAAACAAACGGGAAAGTGATAAAATATCAGACAAATCGATCGTCCAATAAAACGAGAAAAAATAGATGAATGAGCTGAGTTTTGATGATGCGCTGCCTCCTCGGGAAATTGCAGAACGAAAGAGATGTAAACATAAAAAGAAAACACCAACATTAACCTTTTTCTTTCTTCGGGAAAAAAAAAAAAAACTTTTGGCACGATAAAAGATCATTCAAGAATACCTTGAGAAAAAAAAGAAAGATGAGTAAATTAATCAAGCAGTAAGAGACGAGGAAGGAGAATAAGAAGAGCTCGTGTTTGCAGAGACGAATAGCTTCTCTGTCCCGCCGAGGTCACAGAGGAACCAGAAATAAAATTTGAGAAACAGAGGAACGGGGAGGAGCTGCAGCCTTGTCTTAAATAAGCTGCATTGTAGGGGCAAATACGTAGTTTCACTGTCATCCAATTGCTTATTTTTTTATGATTTATTATTAGTGTGTGATAAAATGACTTGGTTACCCTTGTCTATTCCATTTGGATTAGGGGCCAGGACGACCTTCAATTGCAGATCAGGCCCTGTCAGGGATCCCGCAAAGCGGCAGGAGGTAACCTTAACCCACTAGCAGTCGTTTATTGGTTTGGGTAACACAAAAGGCATGTTTGTAACTACGCATTGGTACTAATATTGACACAATTTTTCAAATTTGTATGAATAAATATAAAATTAATTTTTTTTCAATTTTTAAATAGAATTAATGACTCTCTTTAGATTATATGATAATGCTCGAAGTGCTTTCAAAGAAAAAAATGGGAGAAAGTTTATATTACAAGCAGCAATATCTCTGAAAAATTAAGAGAATTTATATTTGACCGACTAAATGGGGGAAACGAATAATGGTGGAATCATGCCAAAGGAAGATAGATATCAAGTGGAAGCAAAGAAATAAAAGGGTTGCTTTGGTCATAGGCAGGAAAAGTAGCCTTCCATGGCAAGTATGAGAGAAGATTATGTGAACTTGTTTCCTTATATATTAGTGGCAAACGCAAGGTATATTAATAATATGGATGCGTGATGTCATTTAAAGTTTAAATTATTTTAATTTCATCCCCTAAAATAGTTTAAATTTTAAGAATCTAGACATGACATGTCTTTCTCTTCAAATAAAGCTTTTTGTGTGTGTGTGTGTGTTGTATTCTTGTTGCATCCATTTTTTTAAGGAAAAATAGAATAAAATAGCCATTCCTAGACTACAGAGCAGCTGTTTACAATTGCATAGAACTTTTTTTTATTCATTTCCTTATTTTGGTTTATCTTTTGACCGAATTTTCATATTCATTTAGATGCTTGTTTGAAAATCGAAAGTAAACACCCGTATTCTTCAGAGGATATTGCTACCATTAAATCGATTTTTAAGATCCCGTTGTTATCAGTTATTCAGTTAATTTAGTTCTGATTCAAAACTTCATTTTTACGAATGTAGTTATAATTGAGTGACGATGATAATTACAATATTTAAAAAAAGACACATGGCTAAATTAACAGAACAATATTTTGTTTGTCTGTTTTCCAAATGCAGTTTATTTGTTCCTTTAGGTAATTTAAACGACCTTTAACTTACTTAAAATAACTCTCTTTCTTTTTACCAACACTTGAAATATGCTTTTATAAACTGAAACAACCTCAAACCACTTTGATAGAAAATCAAGTAAAGTTGAATGATGGAAACTGAAACATCAGATCCCATTATCGTAAGATTTTGTTACACAGACTCCCTTTTTAACTGGGTGGGACGTTTTCATTCGTTGATTTATAATAATTTTATTCTCCTTAATATTTATTTTGCGGTTTTCTGGTTGCAAGTTGTTAAACGGTTTAGCAAGGCATCGTGATCTTACAAGTTACAATACACCAACATAGCTAATTAGAGGCTTCATTTTAAATGTAAGTCCTTAATTTGTCTTGTTTTCATATTTAATAGATGTTTTCTTCAAACTACCCCCATAATTAAATTTTTATAATTAGGTTGATAACACTCCAATATAAGTAATTTAAAATAAGAAAGTCTTTTAAGAAGTAATGTTGAAGATATTTGCATGCTTAAAAAGATAAAAATAATGATGCATTTAACCCCTTTCGGCTGAAAGAGAGGAGATCGTTAAGGATAAAAACGGCGTCCAAATTCGCTCTCGTTCCCCGCAATCAGTAATTTCAGTGATAAATTGTGCTTGACAGTTCAATTGTTGAATATGTATGTATATAGTACCTTTTTTTGGTTTGTTTTGTCATCAGTTGAATTTGAATATATAATTTCAAGACATGAGATATGTGGACCGAATATGATCCTGCATAACACGTCGAACACGGCAGTAATATATTTGGGTAATGAGCACAAGAATGTCGTGTTTTAAACAACTAATATAAATAAATTTATAATAGTCCATCAAAATGTAATACCTTTTAAGCTTTTAAGTCATAGAAATATTTTAACAAAAATATAATAATACAAATGGTTGAATATATGATTCATATCATACCGTATCCTAGACAGGCATGTTTACTTATTTTAAAGTATCGGGTCTCCATAGTTGCTATGCATCACAAGTATACTCCAAACAAACAAGACCGACCAAGAACCATCATAGGAATAGGATGTTATACTCAAACTGCATTTCAAAAATAGTTTATCATAATAACTGCAGATCTTAGAAACAGCACCTTTTTCCCCATCAGTCGGCTAATAAAAGTTCCATGTGGGTTTGGACATGACCTGGGTAAGTCTTGGCTCAAAGTAACCCATCGATGGTATAATCATGAGAATGCTGCCACGAAAGATTCCCCACACGTAACCACGGGGTAGTTTAAAAAACTAGGCCTGTTGTTTTAATAGAAGGAAACATAAACCGAATCTTAGACAGAATCCACCAAGCATCTAGACTTCCTTCTCCATTTTTAATTATCCTATCTGCTGTCTTGGAATTTATCCTCATATACCTGAGGCACCTGCAAACATATTTAGGATTCTATGGATTATGGGGCAAGGAAAAGATGCCAATTAGTTGTCAATAGGAAGAGAATAAACTGTTTAATAAATCCAGCCAGGCACGTTACCATGAAGCTAGCAGTGATCATCTTCCCAGCAAACCACCTCCCATGCAGAGATCGCTGTGCATTTGTAGCAGCTTGAGTATTTTCAAATCGTAAGTACACAAAGCCAGCAGTGTTCCTGTTTATCATGGAAAATAAAATAGAGAAGTAAAATATATGTGTGCGTGAGTGCGGGTCCACCCCACAGTTCTAATCTTTTGGAGGTAATAAAAGGGAAAGCGTGGATCACTCCTTTACTCACTTGTCGACATATACATGTCTCAACTTTCCAAACTTAGAGCATTCTGCTTCAACATCTTCTTTAATATCCAAATCAAAATCTGGTTCCTTCTGTTGCCAACGACTTGTTAGTATCATAGAACAGAACAAAAGTATGAAACAAAAATTTCACAGTACAGGTGCAATCTAACCACCTCATCGTTGGGATCAAACATATTCTTTAACAATAAGCATTCACTTGGAGCGCCAATTGTATCAATAGTAGGCATTGGAGCAGTAGCAGTGGGGATTTGTAGACTTCCTCCAGGCAACGCAGCTGCTGAAGGAACTGAAGCAATTGGAGAAACCAGTAGAGAACCCGCTGACGTATCTCCCATATGTGCTGTAGCTGGTAGGTTCAGGCCTGAGTTGTTGGCAACAGAGTTACCTAGGGAACCGGTAATGCTGTCCACAAAAACATATGAAGTGAGATACATTTAGATCTCAAAGTCGATCAAAACAAATAACCGAGAAGGTTAAGACAAACCCTGGTCCAGTGCCACTACGATCCAACTTCTGCATGAGTAATGCCCGAGAACAAGCATTTAGGGACTGAAAAATGCATGCAAGTCAGTTAGATCACAAATTTGTATCAAAATGGGTTTCCCTTAATAAACATTGACATAACCTTTCTTGTTAAAATTAATAACCTTCAAACTACTCATCTGATAACTCTTTATTAAAATTACTCAATCCTCTCAAGGATTTTGCCGAAATAACATGAGCTTCCCCACTATTCAACAAGTAGAAGCCTAAATAAAATACAATGATACAATAACATAACTACAATTAATTACAAAATGACTGCATTAATAAAACGCAGTTATCTTGTCATCACTTGTTCAATTTATTAGTGGAGATTCATGAATGCTTTTTAAATTGAGACCTAATTTTAGTGAAATACAATTTTATTTTTTTTTTGAAAAAAGGGTTAGTAACATACTCAAGCAAGGGATTACTCACCAAGCCGCCGCCAGCGTCATCATCAAAATCAGCAGTGTTTCCTCCAACTTCTTCCATTCCGGTTTGATCAATAACTGTAGATACCTATATCAGGATAAAAATGTGCAGGAATGAGGTTGGGGGCAAAAAAAAAAAATTCATCCTGATGAGCATCAACAGGATGTCTACTTTCCCGGCAAGTTTATATTGAGTATTGTTAGTTCACACATCAGAACAGGATTACAATCTAGTAGTTTTCAAAACCTCAATAGTGATGTCCTAAAAATTATATTAGAATATCTACCATTATGTGCCTCGTGTAACTAAAAACTTGGCAGAGTCTGAAGACCAAGAAATCTTTGGTCCCCATGGTGAAAGATCAACTGACAAAACGTTAACTTTGTTGATAACTGAAAAGGCAATGCACCCATTCAAGACCTACCCTTGTAAAGTAAATAAAATATCTTAAGCATGAAAATTGAAATGAACTATACCCCCAAATTATGCATCTAATATGGGTGGACTGAAAGACACAAATTAAGTTCATCCATGTTGTCAACAAGAGACTACGGAATCTCACTCTGATTGTCTTGAATGCGGCAAAGTAAATGGGCATTTATAGATATGAAAGCCACTCTAGGAGAAAAAATTAAAATAAAGGTCATAAAATACTGATGAGACATCTAAAATAGAAATAGCTAATATAATCACATTATTTACAATTCTAACGCTTCCAACTTTTAATCAAATGCTCGTTTTCACATTTCACTAATGTGAATTCCCCAAAGAACAATAAATCAATTTTTGGAAATCAAAAAGCCAATTTCAGTTTAAGAAAGCTAAAAGAACTCAGATCTGCGATTAAAACAGATAAAATACCTTTATTGTCCTGCCACCGATTTCAAGTTGTCCATTTAAGCTCTGAGCATTTCTTGCATCTTCAAGGCGTGCAAACTGCATTAAACAATTGGTTCGATTAACTTAAAGTTCCAGAAGGTTTGCACATCGCAAGAAGAATCCCATAAAACTATGTAGTATAATGGCATTGGAGTCCTATCTATGATTAATATTATTGAATAGCCTTTTAGGGCTCTATCTGATCAGATAATAGAAACACCAATTCTGTGAGCTGAATGCCTCCCTCTTAAATTTGAGTAATTAAATGTGATGTTGCCAGAGATACGTTTTATAAATGTCAATGATAGAATTAGCTCATAACATTACATTAATCATTAGTTATCATCAGATTCACCTGCACAAAGCCAAAACCTTTGCAGTGCCCACTTTCATCAAGAGGCAGCTGGACTGCCTCAACCTGACCGAATGCTTCAAAAACCTAAGAATTTGATTAAGGAACAAAATAACAATCAATTGAAGGCAGAGGTGGAGCTGCAGTAATAAAATAAAATCATCTGCATTGCATAAAACCATGAGAGCCACTATTAGCAAAGAAACACAAGCCAAGAGAATCAATTATGAAACGCATTCTTAGATTTCCATGGATGATTAAAAGAAGTGGGGAAAAGAGCATACCCTACGAAGATCAGGTTCAGTAATGCTGAAATACAAATTGCCAACATAGAGCCTTCTGGCTCCCCCAGTGTAAGGGCCCATAAGTCCTGTGGATCCACTGGATACAGATGCAGTAGACTGAACCAAATTCTTTTCCGCTTCTGATGGCTTCACCATCACTGGTTGGCCAAGAAGTGGTTGTCCAGAAAGTGCTATTGCCATGGGGACAGACATGACATCATAGAACTCTATATACCTGAACCAGAACACAAGTTAGATGGCATTAAAAGACAATGTATGTACCAAGAAATAAATACACCAGAATAATATAGGTTAACATAGATCAAGATGATGGATCAAATGGAGTTCACAAGCTCTTCTAGGAAGTGCTGTTTAATTTAAGCCCAGATGGCAGACATGCCTTCGAAGTGAGAATTAAACAGAAAATCCTTGCAATGGTCAATGAAACATGCAAGTTCCTAGATACAGAATTCATTTTATCACATATTCAAAAGACAAAGATGCCAAGCTGGTACATCAAAGGCTGTACCAACATCATGTCAACGCAATTGATTTGGCTACAGATACATTGGGGTGCATGTTGAAAGGAAAACAAGTCCACAGAATTAATCTTATTAAAAGCTTTTTCATTTACCATTATGTCCTACCAAATCCATTCCGAACATCTCTTTTCCACCCTACACATTCTGTCCATGAACTTAACCTTAAGCTTAAAGCCAAAGTTTACTATGGTGACAACATGATAGTTAGTTGAAACAATTAGAAGACATAATGGAGAGCAGAATTGAATTGATTATGCACAAGAAGTTTGCCATGGTTATGCAATGCCTACCCAACACCCTTAGATCGACGGGAATTGCGGTCCATTATCAGGCGAACATCTCGCACCTGAAAATTAAAAATTAAATACATAATAAATAACTTGGACAAAAGCACACGTCATCGCACAAGTTAATGAGACACCCACGTTATTAACAACTGAAAATATTGCATTTATTTTAATTACTTTCTTTTTTGCTAATAAATTAAGCAAATGTGTTGTGATCTTCAGATCTCCATATATATATATATATATATATATATGTCATCTAGCATTCATACCCCTCAAAAGAAATGATAAGCTATTAGATTTGAAGGTCAACAGGAAATAGATCCCTTTTTCCATATACTATACCTCACTTTACTTTCAAATATTAGATTCCCTGCTTAATGTGAAATTGTCAACAACAACACAAAAGAAAAGAAAACTCTGATGTTAACAAAGAGGGTAAATGGAATATTACCTTGCCAGCCCTTGAGAAGAATTCATATACATCTCTTTCATCTGCCTTCAGAGAAATCTGATACAATGGACAAATTAGATTTGGCATAAAATGAATGAGATCATGCAATCGCACCAATATAATGCCTTCCAACATATTTATAGCACCTGATAAGCAAACACAGTCCTCTGATCCCGTTCAGGATCAGCCTCAGGTTCTGCTGCTTCTTCCTTTTTCTCTTTATGTCGTCTGTAGCATAACAGAAACACAAATTCATAACTCAGGTTAGGTTACTTGCAACTTCTTCATGGCAGTTCAGATGAAAATAAGGTGAGGCATAACATCTACTGAATATCGCATACACCTTGGGAGCTCAGCTATAAATTACCTTTCTTCCTTTTGTTTTCTTTAATGTGCTCAATTCCATAAATCATAGGCCTTAGGAGAACAACAAAGTTAATCGCAAATGCCACAAGTGACAGGTTTGAATTTTTAAGAATTTGATCTTGGAACCAAAAATGAGCAAGACCTGGAGAATGTGGGAGATGCTAATCAAGGGAAAGAAAGTCATCCAACTGCTAGTAGCACAGGATTTGTCTATCTCTAAATAAAACAAAATCTTATAGGGGCACAGCACCAACAAGTTGAATCAATACAAGAAAACAGAATTACATTAAGTTGGAATCTGTTAAAAGCATATATGATAAGAGAAACACAAGCATGGACATTAATGTTGATTTTATACAAAATGGCCGAGTTTATTTTAAAAGCCACCAGTGACATGATCAATTTGAAAGTCATTCACATAATGGAGAAAGCACTTCAAGCCCAGAATATTTAAATTGAAAGATCTGTATCTATCAGATTAATTCAAATTCAGGGTGCCAAAGATGCTAGTGAGAGAATTTTATGTCACAAGAAAGTGGCCAAAGCTGGCCATAAATAACAGAAATAGATAGAGTTCTTCTGATTGTTACAGAAGTCATGGACTCAGACCGCCAAAAGAAGGGCAATGGACACTGTTTGGAAAACCTTCTAAATTCTTGTATTTTTACAATTAATAGCCCATCACTCCCTCACCGACGTTCTGCAACAGAATAAATGCAATAAGGCAATTGAGCTCAAGGTTGAAGAAAACAAATAACATGACAATATCATGGCAGTGACAAAAAATCCAAATCCCCCCAATCCTGCAATGCATGCTTTCAGATACACCCCGGAAGGGAGAAACTTTGAAACCCATGATCTGAGGTTCTGTGCCTGGCCCAATTGCCAGAAAGACCATCTGAAGATTGCTCTACCATATCTGCGAGTTCCCAGAATCTAATGTTCAATATTCAGAAGCTTTAAGACTATTAAACAACACAATTAATTATATGCAACCGAAGAAACCATTATTCTCAGATTTAGTTTTGACACTATCATCTACGCACCCTGTTAAGTAATCAAACAGTGATTCCCACAACAGAGCGATGAAAGGTTGAGAGGTAAGGAGAGAATCTAAGTCATAAACACAGATGTAAAATTCTCAAGCAACAAATCTAATGATGAACTGGCATCGTATCAGGCATGAAAGAGACTAATAGCCATCTATATGAGCATGGTAGGGGGCTACACTCTACTGAGCGAAGAGGATAAATTCTTTACTTAATAGAATCAGACATGTGAATTCATCCTTCTATTGTCACATCACACCTCAACCATAATATTTCATTTACTTGACAATTGGTTCAAACAGTCCAGAATCAGGTCAAAGTCACCGGAGGCCTGTTGAGCTTGCCGAGTGGAATGCAGAAATCATTATAATAATCAACAACATTAAAGCACTCACCTAGTTTTGAATTAAAAATCTGAGGCATATGATATGATAACCTAGATGGCATCTTCATAAAGAAAAAAATTGACAATGAAGATGACGGGAAAAGAAGAGTATATTAGAAGCAAATGAAGGTAGGAGACTAGAGAGAAAGAACTTTTCAAAGAAAGAGAATACCAAGAAACCTATGTAATTAAGAAATGGCCCAAACAAAGAACACCTATTATGACTCTTGCTCTCTAAACACAAAATACATGGTGGATTTCAAATATGGATAACTTAGAAGCTAACTACCACTTAGGACTGACACTACATACAACCACATTCTAAAAATTTCAATTATAAGGCAGTCTTAAATTGAACAATCCACCATTGATCCACAGTAGATGAAATAATTCCAGAAATATACAAAATCCTATTGTAGCCAAATAATCATCAGCATATTAATGTTTGCACTTAATAACATTAAAGTACCTGCTATCTTTATCCCGCTCCCTTGATTCTCTCCCCCTCTCTCTTTCTCTATAATCATTGTCCCTGGTTCTTTCTCTGTCTCTATAGTCTCTGTCACGACTCCTGTCTCTATCTCTTTCATCCAAATCACTCCAAAGCCTTTCAGACATACTTCTGCTTCGCCGCGAGTTATCCCTCTCCCTTTCTCTTTCGCTCTCACTCCCCCTGTCTCTTTGGTTTCTTTCTCGGTCATGTTCACGTTCCCGGTGTTTGTCTCTCACTCTACTATACTTCTCTTCCTTGTCTCTATCTTGATCTCTCATCCTATCCCTATTGTCATGGATGCTTCTGTGCCGATCTTTCTCTTTGTCTCCATCTCTGGATGGTGAACGACGCTGAGATGACCCTCTTTCTTTGTGATTGTCATAACCATGAGAATCATCCCCAGATTTTAATTTCTTGGAATGACGATCAACATCATCATGCTTCTCACTAGCTTTATGCTTTGAACTCCGACTATGATCTCTCTTCTCATCAGCTTTTACAGTTCCATCACTGCCATTGGTTTTCTCCTTCCTCTGAAGTTCAGGATTTTCAACAGTCTTCTCTAAGTACTCATATTCATCAAAATCCATCACAACTCTGTTGCTCAAAAGCTTAAAGAAGACAAGCCTTTTTCAGAAAATATCAGCACTTCTGCAGGGAAAAAATTGCATAATCTAAATTTTCTTTAGTAAATAGAGAAATATAACTAGAACAAAGAAGGGATATACAAAAGAGAGGAGGATAGGATATTCTCCTACACAGAGAAGCTTTAAAAAAAACAGTGAGCCCAAGATGATTAAAAACACGATGCAAAGGGGAAATCTCCTTTTGAATAAAAGATCACTTTATCCAAGAGAAAAGATTGTATAGATGACAATGCAATTGAAGGACATATGTAATGAAGTCCTGGAAAACTTTAAAGCGGAAAAGACAGTCCAAATCTCTTTGCACACCTCCAGCACTTCCTTGTAGATGCAATGAGCAAAACACAGATCAACATGAATCTCATTGTTTTTTTTCAAAAAAAAAAAAAAACTTAAATAGAAATATGGAAGCCACATATCCACATCTTTCTGAATGGATCGCAAGAACGAATCTGAAATATCACTGTTCTATACCATCTGTCAGCCTCACCCCAAATTTGTTATAGCCTATTCAATTTCGGACTCCCAGTATGCCAAACACTTAACCTATGATTTTGACCTTTCGGCTAAGTGGCTATGCACTTGGGATGCTTTGTGTATGTTAAAAGCTTGTACTTTAGATTGATAGAGAAGCATCAGAATAAAGGACTTGTTAGGTAATGCTTCTGAAAATGAATGTAGTAAAGTGTGAAGTTTCTAGCAAAAGGAAAGAAATATCTGGCTTAGAAAAACTGTATGGTCGCTAAGGAGGATTAGGTGACTGATTTGATGACAACTTCATGATATGCAATGAGCAACATATTAGCTGAAGACTTGCGTCTTCATAACTAACTGAATTAATTAATGTATCCCCTTCCTTTCTGCTTGCACGCCAGAAACAACTTGGAAGGTCTCTCAAACAAAACCTAAGACAGCAGGTACTCGGTTAATTCAATCTAGCGAATAAATGAGACGTTTAATACCCTTCACACAACCAAGAATATAGTAATATAAGCCTCAGAATTCAACCCTTCACTCCCGCTTCTAAAAAGCCAAGTATATAATGAGGCATGTTTCGACTAGTATAAGGCTTGTCATTGTTGTTTCAGCTCCTAGAAAAAATGAGAAGCCATATTCCACGTATGAATCGTCTGGAAATCTTCCCGGCTGACTTCATGAAGCGAATGCGATATAGAATTGACGCAAACTAGAAATTTTAAATTAACGTACAGTGAACAACACAGTCAAGAACTGGCCAGAATATAACGGAAGGCGAATAATCAGAGAAGAGTAACCAACCTGAATGCCCAGGAAACCTTGGACGAGTAATCGGCGAACTGACTGAAATACAAAACGGATTGATAGGGTCAACTAAACATGAAAAAAGAAAAAACCACCTGGAAGTAATAATGTCGCTGGAACAGGATACCTTGCAGACGAGCGTCGGTTCTCTTTTTTCAGGGAACCAAATCGAATTAACCCACGCAATGGATCCGATCCAAACCCTGACAAAACCAGACCCGGAGGCAAAATATTTAAATGCGCCTTTTTCCTTCTAAAGTTTTGTGTGTGTTACGTTACGCGGGTAATGAGTTAGCAGTTCCTCAGGTCAAAAAAAAAAAAAAAAGGCAGTTCTTTTTTGACCTGGAAGGAATGAGTTAGCAGTTGGCATGATAGAAGTTTGGAAAAAGTTACTCTCCGATCCTTAATATAGGATCCAATTCTTAAGTTGGTTTTGGTCTGAATATAAAACCCATTTTTCATATTTATCAATTATCTCTAAATTACCCTTATGGATACTTCTCAACATAATCAAATAGAAGAAAGAGAGGGGTATTAAAAAGATGATTATGGTGTTTTAGGAAAAATGTGTCACTTTTTTTATTATTAACTAACTTACCTAACTTCCTTAATCTAATCAAATTAGTTAAATGGGTCTTATATTAAGGATCGGAAGAGTATTATTTTTCACTCACTCTTTAAATTATTATTGGAATTTTTTAATATTTTTTTCATAGATATTTTCTCTAAAAGTTCGCGCCTTTAGGGGTGCCTCTAATTCTTTTGTCACTTTCGATTTTGAGTTTACATGAACGGGTCAAGAGCGACCCAGTGTCAGCGTTTGTGAGAAGATCATTGGGTAAGGGCCTATGGTTCATGTAAACCCTCTTTCATCGAAATGGGCCACCCTAATAACATCGAAGTAGTGAGCCCATAACTGAGCTGCAGCGTGGCGAGCTAAAGGCAATCAATGTTGCACCAAATCTAAACAACACGAGACCCTGACCCACGAAAATTTAGGATGATAGCCACTTCACAAGCTCACCTTCCTATTTATATTTTACAAACAACTTAGAGGAAGCGTTTCTATGAAATAAAATATTTAGAAAACCTCGTAAAAAATGAAACCGTACTTAAATATTGAGAGAGACGTTACTTAGTTAAATACTACCTTCGGTCCTAATTATAAGAGTTAGTTGACTAATTGAGGAGATTAAAAAAATAAGTTAAATTAGTTATTTGTAATAAATACGTGTTGTTTTTTCTAAAATATCCTCACTAATAAAGTATATTGGCTATAATTACCATTATTAGAAGGACTATTTTAAATATATATATATAAATATGAGAAACAAAATAAATTAAAACTTATAATTAAGATCAAAATAAAAATCAAAATAACGTTATATTAAACACAGGAGGAAGTATCTTTCATGTTTGACCCAAAAAAAATATATCTTGGGATGGATAGGGAGACTTGACAGCTAAGGCGTTGGCATCATGTCAGTATCTATTGGGAGATTTCACAAGATAATGTCGAACTTACAAATCTTGTACGTAGAAGATTGTTCCGAGAAAAATCTTGGAGAAATTGTAAAAAAAGACCTTAGAATTGTAAAAACGCAGATAGAGACCCTTGACAACTTCACTTTGGGTTTTGACAAGAATAATATGCCCTGAAATTGTCAAAACCCAAAGTGAAGTTGTCAAGGGTCCCTATCTGCGTTTTTGCAATTCCAAGGTCTTTTTTTGTAATTTTCTCAAAAATCTTTCTCAGTCCTGTTCAACAGTATTCAAACATGAGATTATCATACACATACCGAATAGCGCTCTCTGTATGAAAAAGAGCTCTGGAATCAAAACGGCATTAAAAATAGTGGGGAAATTGTATAAATTTCATAGCCTGTTCTTGTAATATATTGGCATATGCATATAACTTAAAGTTGGTTCCTTCTAAAAAATAACAGTGATCAAAATTCAGAGACGTAACATATAACTTTTGCGAAGGTGATGAGTTTAATGAACCGTGGCTATTTAGGAGATGGTGAAGAGTACTTGTTCCTGGTTCCAATGTAGAAGAATATCTGGGGTATAAAAACCAATGAACGAATGATGAAAGAGCCAACAGAAAAGGGGAAAAAAAATATCTAAGACGTCTGGTGCTTGAGAAATTTGGAAGACACAAGTGGCCGGCAAGTTAACCAAAGGCGTCGAAAGTGAAAAGGAACAAGCCCCGCGTGCAGGTTTAGGTCACGTCGATCGTTTTCAATTTGCGGACACCGTGAGATTGAGAATTAGTGATTTGTGAGGGCAGGCTATTATGGAACTAATCATTTGCCGTTACCGACTTTAACAGATTTATGAATGGCCCCTGCTCCTCGGCGTGTTTCTCATTATACTTCAACTTCCATCCTCCCTCACCACCAGTGCATGCATCGTTGTATGGTGAACTGGTCTTGACCAGCATCACTTCATTGTCATCATATCTACACTATGTAAACACAATTTTGATGGCTCAAATTTAAAATTTTTTTACTAATAATTTTTAAAATACAAAATAAATTTTTTAAAAATTGAGAGTTGGCATGTTGTTTTTATTTCAAATTTTGTATATGTTTATGAAATAGTTCTTAAAACAATAAATAAATTTGGATTGTCGAAATTTAATTTGAATGGTCCGAATTTCAATACTTATCACTCTTGACAAGCTACAAAACCATTTAGCCCGAGTATCCATCACTCAGACGATGAGCACCAAATTTGGGCATTCAAGATTTAATATACTTTTATTTTTATATATATTTTATAATCTGATGTTTTAGTGCATTACAAATTTAAAATGAAGATTATCTTTTGACTGTTTTTTTTTTTGCCAAATTATCTTTTGACTATTAGTTTTTCAAAACAAAATATTTTTTCAAAAAACAATTAAAAATTTAAACCCAATTTGTTAAAGTTATATGGACAGTGCAATTTTCATCATAGCGGTGAGTTGTTGAGTGAATTATCATTCTCAAGTCACCTTCTTATATATCCGTTCCTTATTATAAGAGACATTTGATGCTTATAGCAGTTCCTAAATATAAGAGACACTAAAAGTGTCTCTACTTTTTTGTGTTGATTTCCTATTTTACCCATATTTATTGTCTCCAACTCACACTCTCTCTCTTCCCACTTCTCTTCTTTTAAGAATTTACTATGCATGCTCTCTCTTTATTATGAGGGTATACTTTACACATTCATTGTTCTAACTAATTTTAATGTATCAACGTAATTCGGTATTCGTCTCTGAACGGAGGGAGTATCCTCTAGTCCCTATCGTGTTCTGCGTCCATAAATGATTTCCATAATGATGGGGAGCGGCTGTGAAGAGCAGCCTTTCCATGCTTAAAAAGTACTATCTTGGTTCTAATTATAAGATTTTATTGATAAACTATAATAAGATCTTATAATTAAAATCGGAGACACAACATGCTGAAAAAGCTGTACTGTTCATAGACACATCACACTGTACTGTTCATAGAACATCACACACTGTAATTCATTATTTAGAATTATTGGCAAGTTGTAACATTCACAGGACATGCTAACATCTATTCAATATTTAACATCGGCCTACAGAAATTTGCAGGGTTCACAAATTATAAACAATATGTCGTCTCGTATCAAACTCTTTGTGAAAGCACATAACTCGTAATCAACCTAGCTTGATCGCGAGGAGGGATCAATATCAGCCATATTGCTCTAATTTTATCTATAAAACACTTTTAATATGTTTTATTGAAATAATAATGATAAAGATCCAAGCCTCTTTCTCCTGGTCATCTTGTCCATTCGTCACAGGTTACGGGCCTGGTCTGCTATACTCTTTCAAACGAAAATAGAAACTTGAACGACTCTGATAACGACCCTGATTAATTTGATATATTATCTTTAATTTTCTCCTGCACGTACCACCCTCCCTAGATCTTGCCAAACAGATTCCAAATTTGACCGTGCCACAGCAACCCTGGCAGCAGATCCTTGATTTCAAAGTGATGACTGTGATTAGATTCATTCGTGTGTCACTCATAACGTCATGTCTATTTGCCCCCTCCGTCCTGATCTGGAGTTTAGGACCACTCTAATTGAATTTAATAATACTAAGAATGATAATGTTGCTTCTCTAATCTGCCATTAATGTGGCCCCTTCAAAACCACATGGAATGGGATCGACAACTTAGCTGTCACTGGTACAGAAATTCCAAGTCAGTGGTCAATTGTGAACATCGAACCCACCCCACCAATGACCCAATCAATATTCAAATCAAATAGCTCATGCCCCTTCTCAAGACAAGCACTTGTGGCTATCCCTCGAGAAACTAGAGATTTCCAGTTTAACTAATCTTTACAACAGCACATTGTTCGTTCTGAACCTCTTTAGGCAGTCTTCTCTCTGGCCATTTCATTAGCCGACCTTTCTTTCTCTGACCAAGCACCGAGTCTTGCCGGAGCTGAGTTCGTTATCTGCCCCGAAAAGAACAGAAGTACTCTGACTTTAGAATAGGATGCAGATGTACCTAGAAAATAGAAATGTCTCTTTCCCTTTTCTCTTTGGAAAAAAAGCCTCTTTTTTATAAATTTAAAATTAAAATCACCATACGTCGCAAAAGTGGGACTTTCAGGACCAGCAAAGGACGAGGGTAATCCAATCGGGTGGACCATTTTGTACTGTACAATATGCAACCTAGACTAAGTACATTGTTTTTGCTCAGGATATGACTCCTCTTTTAATTCATATTTATTATACTCCTCCGGTCCTTAATATAGGACCCAATTCTTGAGTTGGTTTTGTTCTAAATATAAAACCCATTTTTCATATTTATCAATTTTATCTAAATTACCCCTATGGATACTCCCTCAACTATAATCAAGTAGAAGAGGGGGATGGGGTATTAAGAAAGATGATTATGGTGTTTTAGAAAAAATGTGTCACTTTTTTATAATTAACTAACTTACCTAACTTCCTTAATCTAATCAAATTAGTTAAATGGATTTATATTAAGGATCGGAGGAGTATTTGAGCTTCACACATGGCTGGGTCTATCTATCCATATCTATCTGTGGGTTGAAGAGCACAATCTGCGTACTCTCTCCGATCCCATTCTTGTGGCCGGTGGTTCTGACAAGAAGGCTCACCGAACGTTCCGTACTGCGTTACAACTGTTTATATCTTTTCTTTTCCCTCCTAAATCAAAAGCACCACAAACCCCAACCGTCTGTGTTTCTCATCACCTTCCCCGAAGCCCACATAATAATAAATTAATAACCAATACTAATGAAAGAGAAACTGTGATAAAGTATGAAGGGAGGGCAGCAAAAGTTTCAGGCTGCTTAATCATATGGGTAGTCTGTCTAGCTATCCTCACGTGGGGGCGGACACATCAATAAATACGAGCAGCTATTCTATTGTAAACTCGTTCCTTTCGATCTGTTTACAAATGTTTTGTTCGGGATTTGACTCTCCACTGACTAAAATGAGAGAAGGGAAGAGATGTCTTATTCTCGGAGAGGCTGGATGCCAATAATGCATAATACACTGTCTACTTCCTCACTTGCCCCACCCTCTGTTCTGTTGGATCATCAATTTCCACGGGCCAGCCCCATTTATTACAGAACAAAATTCCAAGTGCTGAGAGGCTGATTGACGTGTCAATTTCCAATTTGTTCTTCCCAAGAAAATGAGCAGAGTGATGAAGATATATACACAAGGAGGATGCACATGGCTGGAATCATGTCAAAATAATTGGTGCGTGTTAGGTAAAAGGGACGTATCTGGCCGATATCCCTGCCTCTGCCCTTATCCAGGTGAGGGCATTAGAAATTAATCACGATGCGGCTTACAAAATATTGGAATGGGGATGCGAGTGGCACGCAGAGTTTATCAGAAGGAAAGCTAGCTAGGGGGTTCTGCTTTTTGTCGTATTGAGCGTCGAGAATTTTTTTTGGGGGGGGGGTGTAAAAGCAGGGTTGATAGATGACAAGAAGGAAGCCAGGTCAGAGAGGTCAGTACTGAAGCACCAAAACCTCTGCCTCCCTCGCTCTCCTGTCGTTCTCAGTTCAGTAAGTGTGAATGGATGTGCTCGGTTCTGGTCACTTTTCAGTTTTCACTCAGAATTCCCTTTGCGGCAGGCAAATTCTATATCCAAGATATAATTGTAATTTCATTGTTTGATAACAAAAGGTTTAGGCATTACATGATCAGGTTGTATATAAAGACTATATAATTTCTTTCACATATTTATTTTATTTTATAAATTATGATTAAAATTTTATTTACAAATCATTTTAAATGGGTTCTAAATGTATTGAGTAAGCTGGCTTATCAAGATGAGGAAAACAACATTATCAATGAGACTTGAGTTTATGAATTATGAGTCGATTGAAGAAGTGTTTGGGTAAAAACAAAATCACAGTTTTAAAAGTATTTTTACAGTATATGAAATAAACATGTAAAGAATTTTTTTTTTATTTTAAAAAAATATTTTTTAAAAATATTTTTTGGGCAATCCACCAAACACTCGATAATTGTAATTTCATTTCATGCTTCCTTCGTCACGGGGCCTGTTTCAACCCCATTTAAGTGGACGCAAGCCTGGAAGCAAAGATGGGGTGAGGGGTCTATTTACTATCCTTGCACGCCATCCATTGTCAGAAATCACACATCAGAAACCCCACAGCAACACCAAGAACGTCAGTATTTTTACCACCTAGTCCAGCAGATCCAATCCCATGCTTATCTTAATCTTAAACTTGATATCAATACGGAATACTTGCCTTAAATTTATACACACAGTCTTGGTCAGAGTGGAAAGATTCTTTTTTTTTTTTCCCTGAAAGAAAAAACAAAACATAGAAGGTGAACGGAAGACCATGACTCTACGAAACATGCACGGGTGGGGCTCAATAATTTCCTGCGCTGCCGTTTGAAGTGAATTTACATCAAAGGATCTTGATCACACGGATAATTATCAAAGGCTTATTATATTTTATCTCTAATATTAAATATAAGAATTAGTTAACTAATTTAAATAAATCAAAAAAATAAATTAAATTAATTATTTATAATAAATATATGTTATCTTTTCTAAAATATTCATATTAATCAAATTTATTGATTAAAACTATCATTATTACAATGACTATCTTGAAAAAAAAAAGAATAAATATAATAGACAAAATAAATTGAGATTTTATCTTTATGACCAAAATAAAAATCAAATAAATTCTTATATTAAAAAACAAAATTAGTAATTTAGAGCTAATAGGATATGCACCTTTCAAACACGTACGAATACCGAACCAGCATTACAATAATACAACGTGCTCCCCACATTTTCAGTGCATTTTTCAATCCTAGCAGTTTTGTTACAGTACACAAAACATAACAATCTATCCTATTAAGACGTTACAATACTCATAAGCCCATAAATAACATGATTTCTTTATTAGATTATTTATTATAAAGCTTAAGAATTTAGACATGTAGAATTCATTTCTATATAGTATAAAATTTACAAAACACCACGCTATCATTTACCCGATCGACTTGTTATTTGTTATACATAAGCATTGATATAATAATAAGGCATCCAAAAAGACAAATAGTCATGAGGGAAAAAAAAAAAACCAGCAGGAGGGAAAGCATTTTAAGCTCGTAAAGGCCACAGTACCTGTGAAACTCCCCATTACGAAACAGCATGTCGTCACCCAAAGACTTTCTTTCACCAGTGCCAAACACCCATTCATCTGATTCCTGACGTCACACTCCACATCTTCCATATATACGTAAATTTTCCGCAGAGAGGGAAAAAGATTAGACATTCCAATGTCCGCATATGTACTTTTCCATAACGCGTTGGGCTTCCGGCTATATGTTAACCTCAATTGCTTCGCATGTACACAGGCGCCATTTGCTCTCTCTTTTCCATTGGGATTCCGGAGACCTGTTGATTACAAGATTATATTATTCCAAGTTTAGCATTAGAGTTTTCCGTTTCATCGGCCGCTTCGCATTCAAATTAAATCTTCATATAACATCGAGTAAATAAGTTGTTTGCTAGCGAGTAAATGGCTATTTGTCATGTGGTTGAATCAAAGGCAATGAGCCGGATGCGTGCAAGAAATCTGAAAGCATCCTGTGAACTTGAAAAGAAATAAGACAACGCTGACAAGAAATCGCGTGCCGGCTTGTTATTTCCACGTCTATACTGTATGGAAAAGTGACAATTGCGTTTGGGTTCAGTGGAAATAATACTACCTCGCGCTCTCTAACGTAAATATAAAAACTAATTAGCTAATTTTAGTACATTAAGAAAATTAGATACTGTTTGGTACGAGCAAAATAAAGAGGGGGGAGGAGAAAAAAATTTTAATGAGCTTTATTTAAAAAATTAAAGAAGTAAGGTTTTGAAATATTAATAAGGAGAAAAAAAAATAATATAAAAGAATAATAAAAATTAATCAAGAGCTTTTTTAAACCAAGCTTGTTGAAATTTTCCCCTCTCTCCCTTATTCTTAGATAATGTTAGTATTTATAATAAATAAATGTTGTCTTTTATGTATTGGTTAGAATTATTGTCATTATACGAACTATCATAAAAATATATAAAAAATAAAAAAAATTAATATTTTATATTTAAGACTAAATTAAAAACCAGACGAAATTTGACTATGAATCTTATCTAACATATATCCGCAGCTGCAGGAACCTGCAAATGCCATTCCCATGGTCACCTCGGAAACACATATCATTGGGGTCATATGAAGTGTATATCCCACAAAGCAACACGTGTGTGGGGGGAGGCATGCAGCCAGCCAAGCATCCTGTTACTTGCGTATACCATATTCATTATTCATCGCATATACCTTGGGCGTTATAAGAATCCATGTTGTTGATTGTTTGATTAAACAAACTTTTTTGTTCAACCTCTTTTCGTCCGAAAAACAAAAGATAGATCCGCCAGCCAGGCGGAGATCACAGAAGAAGTGGAGGGGACTATCGTAGGAGAAAGGAGGAGGAGGAGGCTGTGAAGAATGTAAAATAGAGACATACCAATGGTTGAGGACTTGGTGTAATTTTCTATTTAGAATTGGATTTTTGAGATCCCAGCTAGATTGTTTTAGATTTATAATCCTTGCACAGCATAGAGTTAATTTCTTTAGATTCCCTTTATCCTAAAATACGCCTTAGGCAAAAGGAGAGAAATCATTCGCGACCAATTTGCCATGAAAAATGTCCAATCAAACAGTAGCTGGATGTTTTAAACAATGCGTAGTCACTCCAAACTAAAGACTTGGGGATTTGAGATAGGCTGAGATGAAAAACACCCGAAAATTTTACAAAGTCATTTTGAACAATACTGACAGAACCCTGCTATAGAACCCATAAGATCATCCCTGAAGCATCAATGAGCAGGCTGATTGTATGGCATTTAAGGTGAAATTTGTATTTGTTTAAGAAGTAAGATACAAAAATCTATTGAGACATCCCATTCTAATCACATAAAGGGGGGGGGGGCACAGGATGGCCATGTCTTGTGGTCTTTCATTCTATCTTCATTCGTGAAAAATTATCGTTTGTTAACGGCTTACGCTGTAACAAAAACGCAAATTCCACGTGTCCTCCTTCGAACCCCATTTCACGGAATGCCCATAACGTTACCTCGCCCTTTATCATTTTCCAGACCAGATTACTTCATTGACTCTCTCTCTCTCTCTCTCTCTCTCTCTCTCGCATAGTGGCGTGGAGCCCAGAGCTGGACCTCTGCATTGCTGGCTCCAAGCTCTCCCTTTTGGTCTTATATGTGGCTTGTCCTCTCAGACCCAAGGCAAAGCAAGGGTTTCAGTTGGCCAAATCTTTCATGCACACCCGAAATTAAAGTTGTCATCTTAAACTCCCTTGTCTCTACTCTTCAACAATTTCATCCTCTGCATAGCACTAACTGGTTAGATAGCGGAAAACACCTACAAAAGTAACCCACTTCTGCTTTTTTTTTTCCTCTTGATTTGATGGATCCACAGATCTAATGCTTTCATCCACACTTATCTTTCTTCTCCCTTCCAGATCATTCTCTTCTTCAACTCGGGCATTCAATAGCTAATCAATAGTCAAACTATTGGGTGAGATCTCTCTCTCTGGAATTTGTTTCTTTAAAATGAAGAAACCTTAAGTTTTTGTCATTATTGGCTCTTATGAAGATTATTGTAACTCTTGGGGTTTTGATTTCCAATGTGAACGAGAAGGTCGGGCCTCGAACGAGCTGACCAAAACTCTCTCTCAGAAAAGCAAGTGGGGTTGACGTCACCTCGTGGCACGAAAAAAAAGAAAGAAAGAAAAGACGCGAAGAATTGTCTTTAACTCTTTCTCCCTTGTTGAATTATTCATCGTAAAGGACCTTACCTGGTCCTAGTTTCATTTTTCTTAGCAAGAAATGAGGTCGAGTTTAGGGCAACTCTGCTTATGCGAGATGTTTGACCCGTAATTGAATTCACCTGTATTTGCTTGTTGATTGTCTTGTAGTGGATCGTCATTATTGTGGTGAAAAGTTCCGGGCTGTCTCAATCGTGACTGAAAATTCTGAGGGCGAAGTAGTTTATCGATCGTTAATAGATGTGGAAACTCTTGAAGGTTGTTTGGTGAGATGAGGGATGTTATCAGAGTTGATGAACTTTCTGAGGGCCTGCTTTCGGCCAGTTTCGCATCGTTATGCACGAACAGGTTCAGATGGTGGAGGTAGACAAGATGGGCTTTTATGGTACAAGGACTCGGGGCAGCATTTAAACGGCGAATTTTCAATGGCTGTGGTCCAAGCCAATAACTTGCTGGAGGATCAGAGCCAACTTGAATCTGGCAGTTTGAGCTCCCATGAATCTGGCCCTTATGGAACCTTTATCGGTGTCTACGACGGCCATGGAGGACCGGAAACATCCCGATTTATCAACGATCACCTGTTTCACCATCTCAAGAGTAAGTAACTTCTTGATGGAAGATATTCTGTCAGGACGATAGTATTGCATGGTGGGAATTATGTTCTCTAATAAAAACATGACAAGTGAATTGTTTCGAACTCAGCACCATATGATTGGCCTCCTTATGTTTTGATTGAAAATAGGAGATGATCACAAAATTTCATCTTAATTTTGTCCTTTGTGTATTTCTGTGGCACGTTTTATCTGCTTTACCATTTCAAAATTCTTCAGTACGTTAGGTTGTTTTTAAATTGAGAAGATGTATGTAGGAGTTTACGGTTTAGGATAGACCCAAACAGCCATCAAGCCCATTTTTATATGATTTTGAAAGATTAAGGAATGGAAAAGTTTGTATTTCATTGAATTGTGTATTCCTCTCATCTACAATACACAAGACTGTGCTAGTTGAAACCGAATAGGTCTAATTAAAGGACTCTTTCACTGCAAGACCGAAAAGGACCCTTTCATTCTCTCTTTCAATTTTCTTTTCTCTCAGATTAAATGTGAAAGCATGGCTGATGACATGCTTTCAATTGTTTGGTGCAAGAAATGGTGGCAGGGGTGATTGTCCTTCGTAGTATGTGCACGTATCTTATTATTGTATGCAGTGAGGTTAAGGTTAGAAAAGCTGTACAGTATACACTACATTGTAGGGTCTTAGTACCTGTCTAGCTGCTTGGCTGTTATTCTGTATTTGGATTCTTAATCTCCACGTGGTGATTGGCTGAAAGAATTCTTGCTCAACTTTTAATTGCAGAGTTCACTGCAGAGCAACAATCAGTGTCTGTAGATGTAATCCGGAAGGCATTTCAAGCAACAGAAGAAGGATTTATGTCACTTGTTGCCAAACAGTGGCAAATGAAACCACAAATTGCAGCAGTTGGGTCGTGCTGTCTTGCTGGTGTTATTTGTAATGGTAACATTTATGTAGCAAATCTTGGTGATTCCCGTGCTGTTTTGGGAAGAGCAGTCAAGGCAACTGGAGAGGTTCTAGCCATGCAATTATCTACAGAGCACAATGCAGCTTTAGAGCCTGTTAGACAGGAGCTGCGCTCTTCGCATCCCGATGATCCACAGATTGTTGTTTTGAAGCATAATGTATGGCGAGTGAAGGGCCTTATACAAGTGAGTCATTTATAGCACATCATTTAGTTTTCATAATTGCCCAAGCCAGTTATATTTTTGCTCTATCTGCTTTTTGTACATGGTGATACACTTCATGACAGATGCTCCATTCCTATGCTCAAAGCTTTCATCTCGTTATGCTACAGTTTGAAACACTTCACCACTGGAGTAATTAACCTCATAGTGTATTCTTTTGGGATGTGAAGAATGACTTGTAATGAAAGCAAATGAAAGAAAACAAAGGGGAAAAGAGGTTAGTAGTGCCCCAAGGGGAAGAGGAAGAAAAATTTTCTACAATTGTCAAGATTGTTGATAGAAAGGGGGCTTAGGCTATATTTTCTTCAACTCTGCATATGTTTTTATGGCTATCATATTTAGAATTGGTTTTTGTTACAGAGTCACAATAATGACTCTACATAACCAGAATTTCCATTTGCATGGAATGATCAATTAATTCTTGTTATCTCATTATCATATGGAATTCCTGCTCAACTTCATGATCACGCCCCTCTGTCCATCTACCCACTGCTTCGTCAGTCCATCTCGGTGGAAGGGAACTTGGACTCTCAAGTCTTATTCAGATCCTATAATAGTGGAAAAACAATTATATTTCTGATTTCTTGATCAGGTCTCATCAACCGGAAAAGTATATCAGCATCAGCATGACTTGAATTGAAGTAAATTAATTTTTCATCTTTTTTTTTTCCCCCTCTAATCCAAATATGTCATTATAGAATCCTTTACCTTTCAGATTTCTAGATCCATTGGGGATGTATATTTGAAGAAGGCTGAGTTCAATAGAGAACCTCTATATGCTAAATTTCGACTTCGTGAGCCATTCAAGAGGCCAATACTGAGCTCAGAACCATCAATATCAGTGCACCAGTTGCAGCCACATGATCAGTTTGTTATATTTGCGTCTGACGGACTCTGGGAGCACCTTAGCAATCAAGAAGCAGTCGATATAGTTCAAAACAATCCCCGCAGTGTAAGATATGAATTTATATGCCACAATAATAGACATTGCTATGCAAACCTTGTTTAAATTGTTTCTAGACGGTAAACGCCATTATTACAAACGGAAGTTGTTTGGCCAGAGGAATATAATCTCCTGCTCTGTTGTGGTCTAGCAGTCTAACTGAATTTGAAGTTGCAGGATTTTTTTTCTTCTATATGTACCTAAAAATGTGTTGTCTGATATCATTATCCTGTAGAACTCTAATTCTGGATCATGAAGCCTTCCCTTAGTTTTGCTGACTCTTGCAAAATTAATCATCTGTTATGAGTTTTTGTTAACATCAAAGTTCAAAGATTAATGATAAGCTGATATTTTTATGGTATGTTTCGCTCCTTGCCCTTGAAGCTACAGCAAAACTGTCGGATAATCTTGATAAGCAATGAGCTAGGAAATGGCATTGCATATAATAGGTTTCAACTACTTAATAACATAAATAGATCTAAAATTTTTCTCCTGATTAATGCATGGCTATGAAACACCTTAAAGCGATTCTTATGATCGTGTTTGTAGTTGGTAAAGCATACAAGGCAGCAAGCTTAGTTGAAAATGGATGAATATTTTACGTGTTATGATTTCAGGCAAGCGCGAGGAGACTGGTGAAAGCTGCCCTTCAAGAAGCAGCGAAGAAGAGAGAAATGAGATATTCGGACCTAAAGAAAATTGACCGTGGGGTTCGACGACATTTCCATGATGACATTACTGTGATTGTGGTATTTCTTGACTCAAATCTGGTCAGCAGGGCAAGCTCTGTCAAATTCAACAATATATCAGTTAGAGGGGGTGGAATTACCCTTCCTCCTAACACGCTGGCACCATGTGCGACGCCAACAGAGGGTGGTGGTACCTGATTTAAGTTGTATTTCTATCTTTTTTTTTCTTCGTATCATTCTCTAGTGTGAATACCAGGGATCATTAAATAGCAACGAGAGGAGGAGGAGCGCTTGAATTCTTTATATCGTGAACTGTAACTTTACTGGAATACCACTAATACTCGTGCTTAGTTTCTTTCCACAACTTCAAGGAACAGAAAATATCTTCTCATCTGATCTTGATCATTGATTATAAATTTATATTGAGCTGCCTTGGCACCGACTTTAACAACGGGGGAAAAATTCTTTATTCTGATACCTTTTCTGTCGAGCAAAAATTGTGATTTGAATCGCAAGGACTTGTATACTTCTATCCAAAAGGATTTGAGAACTTTAAATGATATCAAATGTAAATGAAAGCAAGCGGTTGAATTTCTTGACTTTATATGTATGTGAACTACGTGATGAATGATCAATACTATTGAATGACAATTATAACAAGATTTGGTTTATCATTTTCTACCATTCTACTTCTGTGTCTCCTTTGTCTCGTTTGGCTTCAATTGAGTTGTTGGGGTGGATCTTTATCTGAGGCAATTTCGGAACTGTTAGCGAACTCTTATATATGTAATCACATGACTAATATTTACGTTGTATCCGTTGTTATCTGTGGGTGAACAAGAAGGCTTTTAGGTGATCACCAATTAACCATTCAGTTTTTTTTTTTTAAAAAAATAAATTTAACATTACAGACGGTCCTTTACATAATTGAACAGCAAGGCGACTAGATAAATATCATCCAAGAACCGAAATAAAGTATAGCATTCTTCCTGTCTTAAATATAAGATTTATTTTTTAGTATAATTTGTACTAAAACAATTAGTTTTATATTTAAGATCTGAAAATGCACTATTGTTTTTAATTAATAAAAAATAAAACCAAAGGTGCAACCAGAGTGAAGAGAGAGAGAGGAGAATGACACCTAGATGGGACCAAAACCAAGGGAGTAATTTATGGTCTCTGAAATGGAAGCATGACATGCTCATTTGACAGCTAAAAATGGAGAGAGAAATTTAAGCATATGCAGGAGAATTTTATTTTTTTCTTCTTTAGGTACAAGCATCTTCTAATAATTCTATTCAAAACATTATTGGATACTAAATATAATTTTTTTTTAATACCCCATAGTGTTTTAATAGTATTTTGAATATGATTATATTTAATGGGACAATCAGGGGAGGAGCCGGGGAGCTGTGTACCGCTGTTGTGTTATGGGTAACAATGGGACTGTTTCATGAGGGCTGGACTGGGCTATCGGTTGATTTGGTCAGTCCGTAGTAAAGAGCCCAATGGACTCGACAACTTAAATGGGCAGTCGTCAGTAATTTTAATATCAATATATAACATAATATTTACCAAATAATTTATCATTTTATTTTGTTGTTCAATGTCTGGTCTCAGCTCCCAACCGTGAGAGACTTTTTTTTTAGTAGGATGGTATCGCTGACTCAGGGTATCCCAACACAACGGCCAGACTAATCCCAGGTGCACTCGCCAGGTATCGAGCCCATGACATGGTAGGGAAGTCGCCTTGCGTTCCCGTTTGCGACCAGTCGGACCCGACCCCTGCAGGCACCAATCGTGAGAGACTTTAATAGGAGCCTGTTGGTTTGTTTCAACATTTATTTTATTTACTGTGCGTGGGCACCTCACACTGACACTGACACAACACTTGATCCTCCTCAAAGTGTACAGCCTGATGTGTTTGGACGCTACCAAAGTGCTGGCAATATCTAATCCATTTACTCAGGGATAGATTCGTCCTCATGTTTGTGGGCAGGGGCAGTTTCGGATTTTGATGTGCTGCTAAGCCATACCTAAGCACAATTATTCTCTCATTATGCATGAGCACCGCAGGAACCCCACCCTGTTTTAAGTTCTGAAAAACATTTAAACAATTACTGACAAGGCCCTTCGTCTGCCCCGGTCGCACCAGTGGTCATGCTACTTTTCTTACACCTGTTTTCACTTTGACTCTTCTTTTTACTCATGAGCTTGCCTCTGTATCTGTGAACCTCCTTAATTTTCCATTAACACACCTTTCCTTTTTGGGAGGATTTCAATACGGCAGCCTGGCAGTAATTTAAACAAAAATGAGGATTTAAAAAAGTAGTACTCCTCCAATCCTTAATATAAAACCCATTTAACTAATTTAATTAAATTAAGAAAGTTAGATAAGTTAGTTAATTATAAAAAAAGTGACACATTTTTCCTAAAACACCATAATCATCTTTTTTAGTACCCTCTCTCCTTCTTCTACTTGATTATGGTTGAGGGAGTATCCATAGGGGTAATTTAGAGAAAATTGATAAATATGAAAAATGGGTCTTATATTTAGGACCAAAATTAACTCAAGAATTGAGTCCTATATTAAAGACCGAAGGAGTATTTTATTTGTTTACAGTAACAGTATAATGAAAATAACTTGACAGGTTAGATGACAAAGATATTCTTAAATTAGAATCACAGAAATGTGTCTACAAAAAACTCCACAGTTGAAAAACTACACTAGGCACTAACGAAGTCCTCAAAATTGAGATCAAGAAATTTCTTGTTCGATTCTTAGTCATATTTTTTCCTTACCAGTATCTCTTTTCATGTGTTCAACCTATTTGAATTAGTATTTAAAATCATTTATAAACAAGTAAACACATGAGTATCCCGTAAATCACAGTTCAATAGTTATTTACAAATAATTTCAAACAATTTTTCACTATGAACTCTCATCCATCCGCCAGCTTCCTACTTTGATTTATTATCCCAATTAAACCCCGGATCACCAGAGGGAAGAGGTTCATCGAATGAAGAGAGTGGACAAATCGGCTTCAATCTTTTCCGAAATCATGTTGGACGCGAGAGGAGACATGCATGGGGAGTTTCCATTGGAATAGAAAGCCAAATAAAACCCATCTCACATATGTTTTTTTGGTAAATTATTATTAAAAAATTACTTACAAGTTGTTGGACTATCATACTGGAAGGATTTTTTTTTTGTCGTCAACGCACTTTCTTCGCTTCAATTTAAGGTAATTTAGCCATTTACCTTATAAGTTATTTTCATTTCAGTTCAGAATGCCTGCAATTTATTATTACTTCTGGTGTTTAATATAAGAACTAATTTAATTTTTAATTTTATTTTAAATATAAGATTTTTATTTATTTTGTCTTTCATATTTATTTATTTTTTCTTAATAGTTTTTATAATAGTTGATATGTTAAAAATTTTATCATATAATAGTTTTAACTAATATATTTGAATAACAATAATATTTTAAAAAGAATAACACATATTTATTATAAATAAATAATTTAAATAATTTTTTTAATTTATTTAAATTGGTCAATTAACTCTTATATTAAATAAAAGAGCTAGTATTTTTTTTAAAATTTTTTAATGAAGCTGCCACTTGGTCTGTATTGAAACTTTCCCTTCCTTTTTCTTTACTTATTTTTAAATGCCCCCTTTCACTGAGCATGGCTCGTCATGACCGTACACTACCTTCAAGAGCAATTTGCCAAACACTAGAATGCTGTCTTTTCTCTCTGCTTCTCGAGCCCCTACCACCAATACCGTCTCACTCTCGCTCCCTCTCTCTACATCCTCTCCTTCTCCTTCTCCTTCTCCTTCTCTGGGTCTCCGCCAACCCTCAGTCAGTGTTATGGGCTTTTCGAGGCTATCTATGCTAATAGTTCGGTTTGTTTGAAGTTACTCGTTCTTAAGTTCGAGATGTTAACAAGTGTGTATCTTGTTTTTAACTTGAATATTTTCCATTATCTGCCACTGTTTGGGTTTTATTTCTGTGCTAACAAGATGGCTGAGAGTCAGATGGAGTGAGTTGTTCTCAAAGTTCCCCAATATCTGCATTTCTACCCATGCTAATCTTTTAATGCGGCAAAGTGGAAAAAGCTGTGCTTTTTTGTATGCTCCTTTAAAACCCAGTTGAAAGCATCTTCTTCTTCTGCTATCAAGGAAAGACCCCTTCATTTTTTTTTCATCAGAAAAAGAATACGCACGCTTCTCCAAGTAATAACCTTTCTCATCCTATTCTTCAAAAGCAATCTAACTTTGCTGTAAACCCGTTAACTGGTGAGAGAGATGGGTTGTGTTGCCTCTAAACTAGAGGAAGAAGAAGTTGTAGTTATCTGTAAGGAGAGAAAAAGCCAGTTAAAGATTGCAGTGGAGAGAAGATATGCTCTTGCAGAGGCGCATTGTAAGTACTTTCATTCTCTTTTCGCAGTAGCAGCAGCCATAAAGCTCTTCGTGGCTTGCCATTCTTCTCCTTCCTCATCTTTCCTCATAACATTTCCCCCACCTTGCCCTGCACCATCAGAAGCAGAAAATGTGATAAACAACCCAATGTTCCTCCAGCAGACACCGTTTGAGCCAAAGCATGAAGCTACCACTCGTGATTCGTGTGCTTCTTCAACAACTTCAGAATCACAATCTTCTGAGGAAGAGAGGGAAGAACAAGGGGGCAGAGAAAATGAAGTTATGAGAGAAGAACCAGCTGAACAGCCTTTTGGGTACTATTACATGCATATGCCACCATCAATGCCGTCACCGCAGAGAGATTTCGAGTGGGATTTCTTTAACCCATTCGATGGCATGAGAACAGAGGTTATTAGTGGATATCGTCGAAACTCAGACGACGATTTGAGGGTGGTAAGGGAGGAAGAAGGGATTCCAGAGCTAGAGGAGGAGGGTGAAAGAGACGATTTTGAGCAGCAAAAGCCGGTGACTGTGGAAGAAAATGAAGGTGTAATAGAACATGTGAGTGGCAATGTTGAGAGGGTGAATATTGTAAATATGGCTACTGAAAACGAAAACCAGAGGGGCCTTGCTGTTGTTGAAACGCCGGAGGAAGGGAGGGAATTGCTGGATGCTTTGAAGGACATTGAGGATTATTTCGTTAGGGCATATAATTCTGGCAAGAATGTGACCAGAATGCTGGAAGCTAATAGGATACCCCTTCAGTCTGGTTTAGAGGAGCTAAAAGGTGGGTCCTGAGGGTATCTTCAAAGTGTTTGCATGTAATAGCCAAAATTTAGACATGTTATGCTTATCTTTTTGTGCGTCATTAGCAAATATCAGATTGAAGTTGCTGTCAAGGTTATTGCATAATGATAGGAATAGTAGTTCCAAGG